GACACAAGCACAATATGTCTTCTTTAAAATAATGAGAATCAGGTACAGCATCTTGAAGTAATTATTCAGTCAGAAAGCAGGATGAACCTCACGCTTTAGGTCGCCAGATATTAGGGACATAAAGATATGCATCTCACGGTATCATATTTATTCCAATATTTTGTGGAGGCTAACAAAAGAGTGTATATGCTACTTTTCTGTCATAATATAAGATGTAAAAGTGTTTAATAAGTTATTTTATCATGTGTATTGGACTGAAACAGAGCAGAGCATCATGGTCTATGTAGTTTTTTTTAGCTGTTTCTATACCATAACATGAATTTAAGCAAAGAAACTTGATTGAAACTCAAAAGTCTCACTATCACAAACCTCCAACACATTCAAATAATGAATGAGTGCTGCCAGCTCAGTTACAATGAGGTTCTAAAATTTCACTTTAGTCATGGTCTTTCCATATACTGAGAATGAGCAGACCTGTCCTTAATTTACTTTTTTCACTACTAAACTCTGTATGCTGTACTAATTATTTTTAGCAAGTTTAGGTTAGGCCCAGACTAGTAATTGCACTGTTCCACATATTTTTCTGGCTGCACAGGTGTATGTACTAAGATGACTTTTTCCTGGTCTAGTCATTTCCCTCTAATGGATTCCACTTGTAGCTCTTTTGACCATTCAGAAGGTTTTAGAAATTAGTTTGAATGGTCCTAATTTTTCAACATTCTTAAACCCCTTGATTGCGTCTAATGATCTTTGAGTGGTGAAATGGACTCAGATCAGAAAAACAGTCAAGAAAATCTGTTCTGATGATATTGCTGTGTGGAGTAGTAATGTCACAATATCACAGTTTAGTGCTACAAGGATTAAGGAAATTCTTAATTCACTTTCATTCACAGCTATCTGAAATTAAACTTTGACATTACAACAGAAAGATAAAGAAATTCTGCTATTTCCTTAATATAAAGAGGGAGTATTATGCAAAATGAACTTTTTCAAGCTTTTTACCATTTTATACCATTGTTTTCTCACCAAAAACATGCCTGCAGAGGAATCCATGTGTCATTCGTTTTTCAAAATAAAACCAAATCTTAGAAAACTAAAAAACTGTTTTTTCTTTATTTGTCTCCAAAACCAAAATGAAAAAAACAAAACAATAATGATTTGTTTTTTGTGTTTAAATGAATAATGGAAAAAACGGATAATAGCCGTTTTCCATTTTCGTGACTTAAACTGCGATGCTGGACTTGCCGCATACGGACTGAACCAGGACTAAACCAGGACTAAACAAGGTCCGGGACCAGACTGTCACTTAGATCGGGACCAGACTGGGACCAGACTGTGAATGAGACTGGGACTGAAATTCGGACCAGGCCGGGACTGAGGCCGGGACTGAGGCCGGGACTGAGGCCGGGACTGAGGCCGGGACTGAGGCCGGGACTGAGGCCGGGACTGAGGCCGGGACTGAGGCCGGGACTGAGGCCGGGACTGAGGCCGGTCCAGTCCTGGTCCAGTCCTGGTCCAGTCCGGCATCTCAGTTTAAGTCACGGAAACGGGAAACAAACGTTTTTACCATTATTCATTTAAACACAAAATTGAAAACTAAAAAAAACGAATTGTTATACCTTTTTTCGTTTTGGTTTTGGAGACAAATAATAAAGAAAACTGTTGCTTTTTAAATTTTCTTATTTTTGGTTTTATATTGAAAAACAAAAGAACAAATGATACCCAGATTAAGAGGTTTTATGTCACCGGTGCAGGTTTGACTAATTTAGTATTATAACCAGAGGAACAACAATTCCACAGAAAGGAGCAGGAGGAGACCCTCTTCAAGGCCAGATAAGAGTCAGGTCTGTGGAGATGCAAGCCCCTCTACAGTGCAACAGTGCAAACATGAGAACAAAACAAAACTACACGTGCTTTATAGTCTATGTATATATTGTTGTCAAAGTTATATACCATGGCTTGTTTTTGATCTGGGGGTTGTTTTTGATCAGCTCTGTAACAAATGTGTTAAATTGGAAAAAAATAAAATAAAAAAATCGCACAGCATACATACATACTCCCTACATACAGCCCTTTTTACAGACTTAAATTTAATGTAATTGAATTTTAATGTAATTTAGTAATTTTATTCCCTAATACAGTTTTTTTTATTTTACTAGTAATTTTACTCCCTTATACAGTAGTCCTAATATACTCCCTTATACAGCCCTTCCTCATGTACACCATGTCATGTTTGTCGTTTTGGTATTCAGCCCATAGTTCAGTTCAGTGTGTAACTAATGCAAATGTCATTCACAAAAGTTCCAGTGATGTTTTAAAGCATTAGCATTCAGCAGCAACACGTCTTTTAAGCCCCGGCACAAAACCTACCACAGTGTTCGGGGCTTTATGCAGAAATTGTCACTTTGGAGTCGGGCGGAAAGATAAATGCCCAATGTGCGCCTCCGAAATGATTCATACATTTCTGAAAGCAGTCATTGGTGGCCACGATATAACAAGCTAATTACCTGCCATTCAAAAGAGGTGCTCGGGTTTTCTATTTTTCCACGCACAAATCCGCTTCAGCCAACAGATGTAAGCAATGCAGGCGTGAGAGGGATTGGGAGAATTAGTTTTGTGGAAGTTCGGCCAAGTGAGAAATTACAGTAGACACCGACAATAAACCAACGCGATTGAGGAGGGACGTGCTGGAGAGGGCTCAGTCAGGCTTCACGAGTTGAATGCCGTTTCCAATCAAGACTATTATTGCGGCGACTGTATCAAGCACAAGTGTGGGGGGAGATAAGAGGTGTCAAGGCTTTTCAGAGCATGGGGGAAAGCTCGGAAAGAAGTGTCGGAGCGATTGTGGAGACGGATCTAATTGAAATTCGTCCGATAAGTCGAGTTTGTATGGAAATGTTCAGACCCAAGAGTACTGAGGCTGCGGAGAAACTGAAAGAATACCTTCTTAACTAACACGAACTGCAGATGTCAAAACAAAAGAGTTAATGAACCGAACATTCATCAACAAATATTTGGCAGTTCATATCTAAAGGTAGAGAGGTCAGATCCAGTGGCCCACAGGTTGGCGATGCGATTCCAGCTCCCACAGATGAATCCGTGTATCATTTGTTTATTTGTTTTTCACTATAAAACCAAAAATTAAAAAAATTAAAAAACAACAGTTTTCTTCATTATTTGTCTTCAAAACCAAAATGGAAAAATGGATAACTGATAATGATTCTGGGACTATACCAGGACTGGTCCCGGTCTCAGTCCCGGTCTCAGTCCCGGTCTCAGTCCCGGTCTCAGTCCCGGTCTGGGCCTAGTCTCAGTCCTGGTCTCAGTCCTGGTCTGAGTCCTGGTCTGGTTCCGGTCTCAGTCCCAGCTTGGTCCCGGTCTGGTCCCAATCTCAGGCCCATTCTCAGTACTGGTCTGGTCCCGGTCTCAGTCTCAGTCTCAGTTCCGGTCCCAGTCTAGTCCCGGTCTGGTCCTGGTCTGGTCCTGGTCTCAGTCCTGATCACCCAACAGGCTACGCAGGTGCACCTCCGGGCCCATCCTGGTTCAGTCCTGGTTCAGTCCGGGTTCGCAGTTTTACGGAAACGGGAAACAGCCGTTATCCGTTTTTTCACAAAATCAAAAAACTGAAAAAAACAAATAGTTATCTGTTTTTTTCGTTTTGGTTTTAGAGACAGATAATGAAGAAAATTGTTGTTTTTTCATTTTCTTATTTTTGGATTTATATTGAAAAACGAATGAACGAATGATACACTGATTCAGATGAATACCGTCATTATGTCCTTGGACAAAATGCTTAACCCACATCACCTCCAGTGTCTGTGTACTCTAGTGTTTAAATGTGTGTGTGTGGCTCCTTGATGTAAAGCGCTTTGAGTGCCTTGAAGATAAAAAAAAAAGTGATATCCAAATCAAATTTACTCCCCACCCCCCCATCAGAAAAGTGACATAGTATCTTTATATGTCATGTGTGGATTCCGACATTATGGAAACCCTGCCTCCCTTGTCTAAACTTGGGCCCTAGATAACAAATAATCATCATTGAGACAGGATATATTGTTCTCTACAGAGGACGTTTTATCTCTTAATGAATTGCACAATATGAACATGATTATGATGAGATTTTGATTGGTTTTCTGTTCTGTCAAGTCTGCAAGTGCAATGGATTTGAGTATAAAAGAAAGGTTGCAGTTTCATTGTATGCCAGTAGGTGTCACTCTAGGCCTGTGAAGTAGACCTGGAGATCCTTTCTGCTTTTACTAGGTTCTATATAAGAAATGATTCACTGTTCTGCCAGGCTTTCACGGGAGGTTGTTTTTTCCACAATAACTTTTTTTGGTTGGAATATATTGGAATATTTGGGCAGAAGATTATAAGTTAGCATAAAACTCCAAATATCACTTAGGTTTACGTTTTTATTTTTAAATAAACGAAACCTGTGACCTGCTTTCTTGGTCTTAGTGAAGACAGCTACATGGGTAAAACTGTCAAGCTGCCAGTTGTTGTGCTATTATAGGCTTGTCCAGGTTGTTGAAAGTGGTGGCCATCTTGACTGACTGTTTTGGTAAGATATTTTGACTAAATGCCACTCCCTGTCTGTCAGAAGGAACAATACCACACAGATATTCTCAGAATAAAATATATTAAGAGACTTGTATGACTGTCCAGTTATTATGCACTTACTTGGTTGGGGAGATAAACAAAGTTTTTGATATATGCAGTATTAGAACGTCAATTTGGTGAATTCAGTAATGGGGGAAAAAGGCTACACCATGACCTGATTAAAAATGAGTTACAGGACTTATTACTCTGAGCACAGGTTTGCTCAGTTAAGGTACTTGCATTTCCCCTTGAAGACATAGCCTTTGGTAGGTCATATGTTAGCCCAAATAAAGGGCACTCCCATTCAGCATCTCTCAAAGAAACAACTATAACATGGTTCAAAGTAGATTTTGCAGAATAGGTCTGCTTTAAAGTCCTTGTGTGTTTGTGTGTTACCACAGCAAAGCACTATCGTGTGTCACAACCGTGTGGACCCCAACGGCTCACGCTACCTGCTGGGAGACATGGAGGGCCGTCTCTTCATGCTGCTGCTGGAGAAGGAGGAGCTGATGGATGGGACTGTGGCTCTTAAAGACCTGCACGTGGAGCTGCTCGGAGAGGTAACCCGCCTTCATGCATTTCTGTCCACTCAAACCTAGGACTGGGTACCGTTTGATTTTTGTTGATACAGTACTTTAACAATACCTGCTTTTCAGTACCAGTTCCTGAACAGTTCTTTTTTCAGTGCCTTTTTAAAAAAAAAATTAAATTAATGGCCAATATTATTAAGAAAATACTTTTCTTCCTTGAAACATAGTATAAGCAATACTATGTTCAGTTATTACTGAAATAAAATAAATGTGTATGCCAATGAACCATATTAAAGGCAGCGCTCAGAGCATGTGCTTTTTGTTTTGATAAATAACTACAATTTTACTATACGGTTACCTGGAAGAAGAATTTTAGAGAACTTTATCTGGTCTGGTTTGGATACATCTTTATGCACATGCGCTCTACAGTGGATACAAACACCACATTTGCAACAAACTTGCAATGTAAAGTTTTTCAAATACAGGTATGAAGCGATTTTATGAGAATGCATTGGATATGGAAACACTTTTTTTTTACTGTGCATTTAATTTCCGTGCATTTAGTTAGTGTTCCTCATTGAGTGTTCATTCACCGTTTTTAGCCTTGGCAGGTACAAATAAATAGCAGAAAGAGGTTTGTACGTATGAGTAAGCCGCCCTAATGGCACCTACGGCTATAAAAGGCATTTAGTGTTCAGGGTCAGACGCGATGTCTTGTTGTCTTGTCTCAAAATTTCTTAGCTTTGAAAATGCACAATGGAAAATAGTCTCAATCCATGACTTTACTAGGTTCACAAAAATATGAATTGAATGGTCTATTAAAAATCGTATTTATTTTCAACACCAATTTTAGCTCCTTTTATTAACAATTCTAAAATAACATTGGCAGACACTCAAGGACATGCGCTTACTTCTGTCTGTTTTCCTACAGAGCACAAAAGAGAAGACATTTCAAACTGCTCACGTAATTGCATCTTATTTAAACAGAGAATTCTCATTGTGTGATAGCGGCAATTAAAGTTCTGATGTGCCAGGTTGAGTCGCACCACTTCAAAATGTAGAATCCATTTGATCAGTATGATGTTGTAAATTATGGGGTAAGTTAGCCGGTGTCACCATGATCTGTTATTTCTTTTGTGAATTTTTTTTCTTTTGTGCTTAACACTTTAGATCTTTATTTGGAAATCAATCTATCTTTACAAAGTACATTTCAGTTCACAATGTACATTTAAATATGCCCACGTGCAGTAAAGGTCCTACATTATGCAAAAGACTCTACATGTCCAAAGTTCAAAACTTGTGATGTCAAGTGATCATTTTAAAATTCACAGCTATTTTTAAATTGATTTGCTTCGCTCTGCAATACACTAGAATAACTTTAATAACCACTGCTGCCATTTCAAAAAATGTTTTTTTCTAGTGAAGGTGTATGGAGCTTAAAAACACAGTGGAGTGCTTCCTCTATTGTAGTGTTTTCAGTTTGAGAAAAGAACACAGCCTAAATATGCAGGATCTGTGTGTTATACCTACAAAACAAAACTCCAGGTAGGTTTTTGATGAAGATGCAACAATAGAACAATATAATCCAGGCCCTGATAATAGATCTGCTTAACTATTGAAGGTTTTATCCTTTGTCATGAAGGGCATTAAGAAGATTTTAAATTACCTTCAAATAATTGTCTTTTGAAATTATAATTACAGTTGTGATTGCTGTTAGCCTTGCAACCTTATTCTGAATGTGAATGCTTAGTGAGTGTTTGGTTTGTGCAGACGTCCATCGCAGAGTGCCTGACGTACCTAGACAACGGGGTGGTGTTTGTCGGCTCTAGACTGGGCGACTCTCAGCTAGTCAAGGTAAGAACCTCTATGTTTACATTGTACTGCCAAAACAAATGCCACCCACTCACATTGTTATCATAGTTCTAGAAATAATTTAGCTCATTATTTCTTACATGTCAGATCGCAGTCAGTGTATCATCAGGGGTCTGTTTTTAGACCCCAATTGGAGGGGGGAGTGAGGGGAGGGGTGTTTTGAGTGACAGGCATGCCTGAAAAAGACCTGGGGAGAGGAGAATGGGACAGGTTTCATGTCTGCCATCTACTGATTAAAAAAAAAATCTAAAATCTAATTAACTTTATTTTATAAATGCAAAAGTAATGTGACATAATTATTCTCTTAAAAATCTCTTATTGACGGATGTGTCCAATTAGCAGTAAAATTTGATGTTAGTTTTTAATATAAATTATTTACCTTGCAATTAGAACATTTCAGCACTGCATTTAATTAAATGCTGTAGACTACTGAAGGACGACATTCTACAACAACTTTGAACAGCTACAGTTTTGTGGGCTTACCTCCTTCTGGATGAACTCGATAGCAATATTTGGGGTGGGTTACTTTGTTAGTAATTTCAGACACATGGTCGATTTACTATGTCTGTCATCAACTTAAGAAATTCTTTCAACTAAAAATGAGGCATGGGAAAAGCTGTCAAAACCATTACTCCATCTCTATGTATCTGACCCAAAACTGCTCTCACTAGACTACACCAGCAGGGGGAGTTCATGCAAAAAACATCCTTAAACGGTAATAGGAAAAATAGGAATAGGAAGTATTTATTTAAAGGCAGACTGAATGGGTTTATTCTACTTTGTTTTTTTTTAAACATATAAATACCAAAAAAATACCAAATCAGGTCACTCACTCTTCCTTTCTGCTGTTACTGCTGCCGCCAGAAATCCAATAATCTAATAAAATGTTTGGTCGACTAATATTCATTTTGGTAATCGAAGACGCCATTGACTGATTAACCGACCAAACAGCAAATGGCCTACAGTCCTACCATTTTTCCTTTGAAATTAGAAAATTACATGTTGGGTTTTGGCCTTGAGTTCCTCTTCTTTATCTAAGTGCTTTGTACCGTGCGTTTGTTTGTGCAGCTGAACGTGGACAGTAATGATCAGGGCTCGTTTGTCACCGTCATGGAGACCTTCACCAACCTGGGGCCCATTGTGGACATGTGCGTGGTGGACCTGGAGAGACAAGGCCAGGGACAGGTAAGAGCACTCAAGCACACTATTCACATCAACCAATAAAGCAAATGCACCATAACATACCAATCCACATACATCATAGTTTCTTTCAGGTACCAGAAAAATATCATGTCTTCTTTAAAATGGAGTATTGCACTTCTTTTTATACTTTTTTTTTTAAATTAAGGACAACAGAATATAACATTTAACAAAATACAATAATCAACATTTAACAAATTACAATAATCAACATAAAACAAAACCCAAAAACATAAAGCAACACCCACAACAAATACAAAACGACAACAAACAAAAAAAGACTAAAAGACCCATTTCCCCCCGACCACACACCGACACAAATTTGGCTAAATAAAACAAAAGTAATGTGGTAGTGCAACATAAACACACCGCTAGGCCTCCTTACAATGATATTTTTTCTTCTTTTTACACTTTATTTGTACTCAAGTACTTTTACAACATAGGATAAAGAACAAAGGGGCCAGAAAACAGAGTAAAAGATGTGTCGAATGTACCCTCAATTAAAGTAAACAAGAACAAACATATTAAATACAAGGTCAGTTGTTTCCTTTAACATGAGAAAAGTATCTCATTTCTCCCAGGGGGCATCACCCTTTTGTTTTTGAAGCCTCAAGATGAAAGTCAAATGCTCCATGGACGGGATGTATTTAACAAAGCTAGCCACTGACTTATATTAGGCGGATATGATTTGATATATTATCCAATTGTAGACTTTTAATGTTTTTATTATGATACCGTCGAAGCCGTAGGCACTTATACATGCCATCTTTTTAAAAATTAAGTTGTTTTACCAAATCTAACTAAATACATATAGAAAATCTGGTCAATTCTGACCATCATGCTTCCTATAGTGGGTTTTTGGGTCATTTCTAACACATAACATTACATATTTAGATCACTATGTTACCTTTTATTGTTTTCAAAATGCTATATTTGCCAAAAACAGTGGATTAACATGTTTAATAAGTTTAACTTAGCTCTGTCGCACATCGCTAGCCTGATTCATCAGCCGGTTTTACTTCGTTCCACTTCATACAAACCGTCTGACCTCTGAGCCTTAGATTTCATTCGCTCGACAGTAGGCGGGTACTTTTTATCATTTAACCAATCGCTGCTATTTAGTCGTGACGTATGTAATGTGCCGCTAATGGGGCTAACTGGTGTATTAAGCTTTTCCCAAATCCCCATAGGAAGAAGGACAATAATGTCTTTCCCCTTGATGAAATTCACCAAACATTCTCTTTATTCTGGCTTTAAATCCTCGATCTCGGGAATCGTTGCCAACACAGAATGTCTGGCTCTTCGCTGATTGGCTGATGCCCGAACTTGCACTTCCGGGGTTTTTGCGTACCGTCTATTGTATTTTGATTCCTGGCCTAGTTGCTGGAGAGAAATGTAATTGAGTGGAGGCACTAGGTGGTGCCAGTCTGGCACATCAGGTCTTTGAAATTTTAGTGTATTGTTTGTATCGTGATTTTGTATATTTATAGAGAATTGTCATGTGGGAGCATGGGTGACGTAGGGCTTTGGACTGAGCTTAGGGTAGTATCATACTGCTATCCGTAAGAAGGGTTTGAAAAGGATTCAAAACAGATAGCAATTTTACTCAAACATGCATGGATGACATATAAAACTACTTCAGGCATTTTTTTGATGAAGGAACAGAGATTATAACATGTTAGAATGCTCCAAACAGTTTTTATAATACACCCACTTGGCTTCTTATCCAGTATTGTTTCTGCTGATGAGGTTAGTAACAGCATATCCAGAGCAAGCTTTCATTTTCTTCCACCCCAACTCATTTTAATACATATTCCTAGCTTGGAGTTGAAATGTGAACATCTGAACTTTTAAGAGTTTTAATATGTCTTAAAGTTATAAAGAAATGTATCACCCTGTTTCACACATTATTGTCACAAGCTTCTATCACTAAAGGTGACATTGATTCTTCAGAAATCAACTCCACCAGCACTTTCATTTCAATATCAAAGTATGAATGACTAGCAGAAAGTCGAGATTGCTACAGTTGATCTGTGTGATAATTTAAATATGGCCTCAAAAGGGAGTGTAGTAGGTACTCTGTAATTAACATTCCACTGAACAGTGTTGTCTCGTTTAATTGGTTTATGTTTGATATTGCCATGGGAGAACTTCACTTGTATTCTGTTTGGATGAAGGGAGGATAAGTGGGTGAGATATATTTATATATCAAGTAAAATGAACTTTTCAGAACTTTTAACCACAGAACTTTTCAGAACCTTTAACCATCTGAAGTTTTATTTAGAGTGATTCATGCATGTTTGAGTAATCTTTATTCTCCTGTATTCAAGATGTCATTACTCCCATCCACCCATGTTTTCATCAACACTGGTACATGCCTACTGCCCTGGAGTTACTTTGGTCTTCAGTTTAAGTTTCTTAATCGATGGTAAGCATAGGGTTTGGCAGCTTTGTGTTGTCACTTTGATACAAATTAAATAAAAATCCACTTTCCAATAGTGTGATCTGCAGCTGTGTTGCTGATGTTGTGAGCTCCCATTGGGCACTGCAGTTTTGTAATGTGGAAATCAGCGGACTTGTTTCTTTTATGAAGTAATTTTAGATCAATATCAATATCATCATCAAATCCAAAAGACCAAATTATAAAATAAGAATGATTTACAGGTGACATAGGGTGCTTCCAAATTCCCAGGATCCTCAGCTTCTGAACCACTTTGGACAGATCCAATGGGTTTTATCGCGTTTGATCTGGTCATGTGACACATTGCAATTGCTCCCTCTGGAGCCTATTCCACCTGTGCTCCAGGGCTGTGAGTAGGACACTTTGCTCTGCTTCAGAGGAGCCAACTCCAGAGGAGTGTTCTAAAGTGGCCTTTGGAGGAAGGACCCTCAGAATTGAGAAACACCCATAGACTACAACTATATAGCAGACACAACCACAATGTCTTCTTTAAAAAGTTTACACATTTTTGGGTCAGTTGACACTTTTATGTAGAAGCCAACCAATATGTTTTTTTTATGGTTGATACCAATTGCTTAGAACACAGGTGTCAAACATAAGGCCCGGGGGCCGGATCCGGCCCTCCAAGACCTTTAATGTGGCCTTCGGCTGTTTTTCTACTAAAATATTTTAATTATATTTTCTATTAAAATATTGGTAATTTTCTGCGTCGCTGAGCATAACAGTGTCTCCAGCGTCTCTGTACGTGGCCCCTCCCACCAGAGCAGCACAAATGAAGACTTGTCTCTTTCCAAATGCTCTTAAAGGACGATCGTTTTGACTGTTGACCATGACACCCTCATCAGCAAAATGTCCAACATGAGAAAAGTGGAGCCGAGTGCAGGATTTTCCAAGAAAAATTGACTTATCCCTATTTGCATACAAGTTCATGTTAAAACATTGTGTTGAAATTGCATTTTTCTTAAAGTTTCAGGTTGTTCATAATATAATATTTTGTAAAAGAAACAGTTCATCAGTTAAAAAATATTTCTGTAATAGATTTGTGTTTCTCTGCACAAATACTTGAACTTATTGCTGTTTTTAGGGTATATATGCCATGAGTTTTCTGATCCGGCCCCTTTGGGATCAAAGTAGGTTGGATTCGGCCCCCGGACCAAAATGAGTTTGACACCCCTGGCTTAGAAGCTAGAGGAACCAATGGCTTTGATAATTTTGATATATATAATTTATTTTAATTTTTTTAACTACAAACTAGATAAGAGAATGATGTTGTCACATTGTGTACTTTATCCTCTTCACAAGCATATTCTGGAGGCAGCAGGTCGGCCCAAACAAAATAATGGCTTCTGCTGGAGATAGCAGATAGGCTAAAAAGTGCAAAGTCTGGGCCGATATATCAGCCAAATCATATATCTCTGCTTTCATTGTACTTACTACTTAAATTTTACTCAGTTTAGATAAATATTGTGAATTTAAAAATCCAATCCAAAATATAATATAATAATCCACTTCTGTCATGAATTCTATCTATGTTGCAGACAAAAGCCCAGTCTGTCTTCTTTAATGGAAGATGTTTCAGACCCACTCAAATATTCTTGTAGTTTTCAAATGGCTTTGGTTGTTATGGGGAATTGCATGGCTGTGCGCTGAGCCTCTGTTACACCCCTGCAGTTAACAATGGAACTACTGAGTTTAAGGAAATGTTCGAAATGTGTTCCACACGGTTTTGATCACTCACATGGTAGAATTTAAAATCTGTCTGTCTAAAACAGCTTTTTATGCTGAGAAAATGAAAAAAGCTCATCTGATGTGGTTAGTTCTCTAGATGGCATCATTTCTTCTTTTAAAAGGGGGATATTATGCAAAATGGACATTTTTGGAGCTTTCTGTCATGTCATGTTTGATCTCTTCTGAGCACTATTCGAAAACTCCTTGCAGTACCATTCTTTCCACAGCGCAGCCCACAGGACTACGTCACCCATGCTCCCACACGACAATTCTTCATAAACATACAAAAGCAGGATACAAAAGAAAACAACTTCACAAACCCGATGTTCAGTAGTTTCATTAGCGGGATGCATGCTGATTGTGTTGTGATAGCGCTCTGAAGGGGGAGTGACAGAGTATGGATAGCAAAGGGGTTAGGGGAGACTCAGAGCATCAAAAACAAAAATGAAACTCATGAAACTGAATATAGTGTTTTCAGAACAATAAAAGGTAACATGGTGATCAAAATATGTTCGGTATTAGCAGTTAATACCCCATAGGACTGTAATGCCCCCTCTTTAACTGTGGATATTTTGGTCTGTCTGCCCTGTCCTGGCGTTTTGTCTCAAGAGTCAGTGCACATAAACATTGAAGGAGATTGCTGGACTGGTGACGGGACAGTGGATGGACTCTGGCTGGACTCAGGGAGGCCTCAGGGGGATCAGAGCTGGGCCAAACACAGTCCTTCTCTGGGGACTGGAGAGTGAGTGGAGGAAGCAGTTCTTAGCCTTCTGTCACTGTCATTCTGGCCACACAGATAAAACTATTTCCTACGGTTGGTTTAAGTCACTCTTTTCACTTCGTATTCACTTAACTGTAGTAGTGTAGAATAATTCAGTTATTTATCGAGCCAGAGATGCAGTACCCAAACTTGTGGCTTGTTTTCCACGTTACTTGCAGGACCTTTGATGTAAAATGAAATGAAAATGAAGATGTGATTATGTTCAAGTCAAGTTTGTTGAATTAGCACATTTAAGTGTTTTGCATAAAAGTCAAAAGCAAAAATACAGTACAAGCACAAATAACAGCATACAGAGTACAATAAAGTGCAATAAAATATCAAAAATATGACTATTTGAGGTTCAAACTAGAGCCTTTGAAATGATGGGTTTAAGCTTTAATTTACCTTACATCTGAATTTGTGACTCAGACTGTTTTGGAGAACTGACTTTATATTAGGGCTGCATGATTTTGGAGAAAACCTGCATGTTGTGAAGATTAAAATACTTTTCCCTATATTATATAATTCCAATGCACTACTAACTCATCTCCAACACTGTTTTGATACAAATTGGTTGAGAGCTGTGTGGTCACATTTTATGCGGAGCCCTCCTCGCCCTATACTGTTCAAATAAAGTTTTATGCAGCTGTTTGGCCAAAACACAATAATGGCCTCTGCAGGAAGTTTAAAGAGGGGCTATTACACTTTGATGGGGTATTAACTGCTAACACATAAAGTATTTAGATCACTATGTTAACCTTTATAGTTTTGAATATGCTATATCCACTGAAAACAAAGTATTAACATGTTTAGTAAGTTTTGCTTTCATTTTTGAGTCTCTCTCCCTTTTGCTCTCCAAGCTAAGCAATTTCCCCTTTAGAGCACTATCACAACACAATTGTGATTGTAGTGTATAGTTTTATGCTTTATATATTTATGGAAAATTGCTGCGCAGGAGCGTGGGTGATGAAGACTTGTGGACTGATCTTTGGATAGGATCGTACTGCTAACTGTAAGGAGGGTTCAAATCAGGGTAGCTTAAAAGTCTTAAAAAGGCCTTAAATTTCATGTTCCTAAATTAAGGCCTTAAAAAGTCTTAAATGATGTTGTCCAAGTCTTATTTGTTTTCGTAAAGGTCTTAAATTTCATTAGCGTATATTTTTGTATACTCAACCAGGCTGCAGTGTGATGTTAAATGAAGGGAGGAAAAAAAAACAACAACATGAAAACATCTAACATGAATGAACATCTAATTTGGAGTATTCACAAACAATACTTTGGTTTCTGGTGCTGGCGGCAATGATTAAACAATCAGTAGAGTGGAGGAAGATGTTCTGTTCTGGTGTTTTTTGCCTGCATAATAGGTGTGATGTCTTAATTTTCATTTAAGTGGTCTTAAAAAGTCTTAAATTTAGGGTAGTCAAACCTTCAGATACCCTGCAAATAGACCCTGGGAGAGACCCTACACTAGATTACTCAAACATTCATGGATGACATCAACGTCTTCAGTCACGTTTTTGATGAGGATAACAATGTTATGTAATGTTAATGTTAACAATGTTGTCATGGTAGAAAGCTCAAAGTCAATTTCACACAATATCTCACTTTTTTATTTTTTATTCATATGTTTTTAATCATGTATATTTATTTATTTATTTATTTTATGTGATCAAGTCATTTTTATTATTTTAGACTAAATCTTCCAGATATGAGACTTCAGAGTCACCAGTAACTGCATACCACACAAAGGGATTTTAACAGTACACATAAGAGGTGATGTGTGGAGCTGCCCACGCTGGCACTGTGAGCTGACACCTATTATTTTCCCCGCACAGTCACATGCTTCAGTCTCTGGAGGGGGCTAGTGGTGAGAGGGCACAACGGAACAGCCATGGAAAAAGAGTTAGCAGATGGCTCCGGTTATACACGCGCTGAGATCCATTTTACTGCACCAGGAAGGGACATGATGTATTTTGGCATTCCCTCTCAAAGTGGAAGATTAGCATACCATTCTTTGAGTTGTTGGGCTGAGAAGTTCTATAAAACATTTACAGGAACTGTCCAAGCGTGTCGTTTTAATGAGGGTTGTTAAAGCAAGGACAATCAAGACAATGTTGTTGTATCCTTGGGCAAGACACTGGTAGTTGGAGGCATATAGACATATTGTTTGATATTAGTCAGAACTATAAACCATGGTATCATATGACTCTTAAGAAGTAACCCTAACTTACTGCATATTTAATATAGTTACTACCTGTGAGTGCATTAGTGTAATGCTGAAAGGTCTTATATTACGCAAAACTGACTCTCGTGAGCTTTAAGACATCTTTATAATGTTGTTTCCTCATCAAAAACATGCCTGGAGTTGTGTTTCATTCACACATGTTTGAGTAAGCCCTTCAACTCCAAAGCTCAAAATGCTGTGTTCCACCTTGTGATGTCATGAAGCGGTAGTTTTCAAGTTAACAGTTACCATTTACCTTTAGTTCAGTAGAGACTGGCAGTTCCAGAAATAGAGTCCTATAGTAGAATAATAGTAGAGTCGAGGGGTGGGCGATATATCGATATTTTAAATATATCGAGATAGTTTTTAAACTTGATATGAATTCTGACATATCGTATATATCGATATAATGCTTATATTAAATTCTGATTTTGCCGCTTCACTTGTTTACCTTCATTATTTTGTCGATTTCCCCAAAGACGTCAACATTTTATTAGCCAGGCTAGCGCCACCTGGTGCCTCCGGTCATTCTCATTCTATTTCTCTCCAGCAACTAGGTCAAGAATCAGAATACACTAGGTGGTTCGCAAAAACCCCGAAGTGCAAGTTTGGGCACCAGCCAATCAGCTAAGAGCCATATATTCTGTATTGTCAACTATTCCCGAGATCAAGGATTTAAATCCGGAACAAAGAGAATGTTTGGTGAATTTTATCAAGGGGAAAGACATTATTGCCCTTCTTCCTAAGGGATTTGGGAAAAGCTTAATATACCATAGCCTCGTTAGCGGTGCACCTACCGCCGAGCGAACGAATTCTAACACTGCGAGGTCAGACGGTTTCTACGAAGTGAACCCGGCTGATGAAACAGGCTAACATTTTAATGGCAGTGCCTATCAAACTTTCCACTCAAACTATCACTAAAAAAAAGATCTGGCTTTCAGAGTACCAACAAATCGAAACCAGGTCTATTCCAGGTCTAATCTAGGGCTAAATAAAATTAATCAGGGAAACCCACAAACTGAAGAGCTTGTACCATAGTTTGACAGTCGCTCTTCTCTGGCATTGATAACAATATGCTTGAGTGTGTGCAGTCTGAATAAGTGTTGGCTGTAGGCCTTTTGCCCTGGAAGCCAGCATCAGCCCATAGTTGGCTTACTAGCCTCCATCAACCTCAAAAAAGAACAATCAGAAGAAGAATGAATTTTGTTTTCCAAAATTTTAAAATTTAGTGAATACCTGTAGATATGCAATTAAAGAGCATCGATGGTATAATTTTGAATGAATGGCCTCTGAACTCTGAAGATTGCCTAGTTAAGTTGTCAAAAGTGTTAGACATTAAATAGTTGATCAGAAAACTAGTGTCAAAACTGAAAAAAACAAACCACTTAAATAAGACTAAATTGAACCTTTTCTAAACTGTTACAGAATGCTTTCGGTGTATTTGAGGACTACTGCCACATTAATGAACCAAATTGTGTCAAAGATTACATTCAATACTTTTTTCAATCATCTCTGTAGTTTCAAAATTGGTATTGAGCACTGTGTTTTTTGCTTGGCATCGAAAGCGAGTTTGTAATTTTAGTATTGACAATGCTATTACCTCGAAACTTTCAAAATTGTGGGTGTCAAGCTACGAAGACTGCATGCTGTATTTTTGTTTTATTTGGTGTCCATTGTAGATCAAATGGAAGCTTTAGAAAGTTAGGTTGGAAATCGACTATGATTGATTATGTGATTACTGCAAACATGCATCCAAAATAGAAAACATGTCTGTCCTTTAATACTTCTTATTTATAGCAACACAAACCAATGAAACAAATGACAAAAAGCAAATTAAGGTCAGATCTGTATTTGAATGTCATCACTTCTCTTGTATGTTCCATTCAACATGAAATGTCAAAAGCACATTTGATGAAACAGCGTAAATGCCCTTTGAATTCTTTGTTTGTGTCCCCAATGCTGACTCCCGTTCTCCCTCCCTCTGCTCCTCCAGCTGGTGACGTGCTCCGGCGCATTCAAAGAGGGCTCTCTCCGCATCATCCGCAACGGCATTGGGATTCACGAACACGCCAGCATCGACCTGCCCGGAATTAAAGGTCTGCCTGTCTGTCCTCGTCCTCCTCTTCCTCATCACACATGTTAGCTCAATCCCGGGGCTGCAAGATTAATCGCAGTCCGATCGAAATCTCAGTTCGAATGGACGCAATTAGCAAACCGCAAAGACTGCAGTTTTTGAATCATTTCCTCCACAAACTACAAAATATCCTGTCTTATTCTTGATTAGGGTTGTTGAAAGAATTGAAAACCAGATACTAATCAATAAAACTAGAAATTTTGAATGATCTTGAGCTGTATCAGAATAAGTATAAGAGCACATAGACTAGTATACGCCCACAGACAACTGTGGATCCTACCTTGACCACTGATGGATTACACAGTTATAAAACCATTTGGGAATATTAAAGTACCTTATTTTTCAGACTATAAGTCACTCCGGAGTTTAAGTGGCACCAGCCAAACAATGCGCAATGAAGAATAAAGAAACATATATAAGTCGCACTTTTTTGGGGAAAGTTATTTATAAAATCAGAGGCCAGGAACTAACATTTAATCTTGAAAGACAAGTTATAGTAATAATAATAGAATAGAGAACAACAGACTGAATAGGCGTATGTTAAGCTAACATCTTAACAGTTCTTCAGATAACTATAGCATAAACAACAGAATAAGTTTACCAAACTCTCCATCTCACTCCAAATCACTAAATCCATTGAATTCTTAATCCTCGGTGTCATTTCTGAGCAACTTCGCGACCGCTGGAGGTAAAGTATAGATCCATGAGATAAACGGAGTGTCGCTTCCTCTTCTGAGTAGCTGTCGTCAGACTCAGCATCAGTTCCAGTTAGAATTATTCCAGCCTTTCTGAATCCCGACAGGATGGTTTCGGTTGTCACTGAAGTCCATTCTTTGTCGATTCATCTGGTGACTTCAAGAAAGTTGCATGGCGCACCCTCCCGGTTAGTGTGAAGTTGTGTTCTCCATTCCCGCTTTGCGCCAATCCCTCTCAAGTTTCTCGCTCACTCCAAACTTTTTCTGTTGGTCAGTTACTGTTTTCAGCTGAATATTTCACTACTTACAGCAGGACAGCGACTTTTTCTGCAACAGACATGCGCAATAGGGCGCAACGTGACAGCAGTACAGGAGTAGCAGATACTGACACACAAACCTAGAGCGCCCTCTCGTGGCTGTCAGTGTGAAAATTTGCAGGACCACCCAAACCATGAAAAAAAGTGCGACTTATAATCCGAAAAATACGGTACTACTATTTAATGTCATTCTATTGTCAAGATAAGGAGTGTTTAGTATTATCATGATGATACTGGAATTGGTATATTGAGTGTATTCCTTAGTATTGAAATTGAATTTGAAATTTTAGTATCATGACACTATTCTTTCTGGGTAAAAACTAATTAACCCTGTAGTTTAGATCTGTAGAAACATGTTCTATTCTGTTCTTATTAGTATTAATTTGTGAGTTCATATTTCAGTCTTTTTTTCAATTCTTCTAGATGCATTTTGCATTGAACATGGTACAGAATCCTATTAAATCAAATCACAATTCCAATGCTTGTCAGAAAAATATCAATTAGTAGATATTTTTTCCAAAGAGACAAGGTGGCGGACCCTCCAACAGAAAAGTGCCTGTTTATCATTTTGGCATCAGTACTATTTGTTATAGGCTCTACTCAAGCTTACCGGAAGACATTTAGAAACGTGCCGATGATGACTTCCAGTGTAGTAACAAGACTGGGCTTGTAAATGTTGATCTGACGAACATAACGGAATGCCACAATGACTTCTTTTTTTTTTTTTTAATGATAAAGTTAAATTATAAATACATAAATTAATAGGCAATTTATGAAAGAAAAAAAAAGAATACAATGCCATCTAGATGAAAAAAATCTAGACATTTTCTCAGTTTTCCCTGATTTACTACTCTCAACAGAGCTGTCTTCTGCAAATTACTCGGACAAGGTAGCTCACATATCACAATACATTATAATAACAAAGACTAAAAGATATAAAAGATATAAAAGGTTATAGACAAAAAGATTTCACCATTGCATAATCCCCTCCTCTCAACCACTCCATTCCCACATCTGCCTGGACGACCTGCCAGCTGCTGCATCTCAAGCCCCATGTGGAGAGCGCGAGCAGGTGGCAGGGTTAGCGCGCGGATGGGAACGGGATGCTGGCCAAATCCGTGCTGAGACATTTGTATTCGTTTAGCAGTGGAGAGCAGCAGGATGTCTGATGGATAATCGATGATGTTAACCCTGCCACACATTCTTAATCTGTTAAAATTAGCAGCAGGTTTTAGTCCTGAGGCCTCCAGAGCTTTGGAACATCAGTCACTTTTTAAATGGCAAGTGACTAAGACAGGGTTTGGGTCTTCCTGATAATCCATTTCACAATTGATATTGATAATAGATACACATATAAATAAGGAATAGTCTGAATTAGAGATGGTGCAAGGAATTTTTGACTTGATATCAGATAATTGTGTTTTGTGTAAACATACAGCCATATGTTTAGCCTAATTGTTTGGGAATCTTAAAAAAAAAATTGTCCCTACTGACATATATCACCTTTCCCTAGTCTTGTCCATTTAGAACTAGTATAGGACACCAAGGAATATTAAAGAACACATATTACCGTAAATTTCGGACTATAAGCCGCTACTTTTTTCTCACACTTTGAACCCTGTGGCTAATAAAAAGATGCTGCGGATGAACGGATTCTTTGTTTGGCACATTGTCCATTCAGATAAACGGTCTATGGTTTGGTAGCACAGTGGATACGTGCGCAGCCTGAGTGCAGAAAACACCGCTGTCTGTGCCCTTAACACATGACTCTAGAGTTAAAATAAGTTATGATGCTACATGAACGTTAGTGAGGGGGATATGTCTTACCCGTATGCGTAAATGACGAGAAGAAACATCTCAAACTTCAGTAGTTGGACATCCACTCATACCTGATTGATAGAACTAGCTCTGCCCCGAGAGTCTGAAATCTGCTGAAATCCTCCAAGACACTGACATGATACAGACAGGACAGAGACATGCGCTGTAGAACGCGGGGAGAGACGGGGTGATGCGCTGAGTAAGATGCTCGTTTGATTGTGTTTTGAACAGTTATTTTGCACTTCATGCTCACACCCTTTTCATGGAAAACACATGAAGAAATGCAGATGATGCAGCTTTTAAGTTAAAGACGATTGATGTGACTGTCAAAGGAAATCGAGCTGCTGCACGTGAACTCTGCATCAATGAATCGATGGTGAGATTTTGGCGACAGCAGCATGTCGAACTGACTCAATGCAAAAAGACAACAAAAGCTTTCAGAGGTGATACAAGCAGACGGCCCAAACTTAATAACGTTCTTGAAGACATGTTCACCTGTGGCTTATATGCAGGTGTGGCCTATATATGTACCTCGGGAGATGAGGACCTCCTTTGTAAATTTTTTGTCATTCGGTTGCTGACAGTATAGGGAGCTGCAACAGTGATTCATTGGAAATGGAGGTGAAGTTTATAAATATATTAGAAAATGTGAAATGTCTATCCCAAGGTGACCAAAAGCATGTTTAAAAGAAAATTAAAGCCTCAAGAATACATAATGTTCTATTGTTTTGAGCTGAAATTGTCTTGTATAATGATTGTGTAATGCATCAAAATCAGTATTGAACATGAAGCCTTTTTCTTAGCATCAAGATCGGGTTGTTTGTAACAACACCAGTTGCAATGCCAGTGCCTGGTTTATGGTACCTGCGTCTTTGATCACGCATAGAACTACATGCACCAGAAATCCCCTGAATGATCACAGAACCATCTCTAACGTGTTTTATCACAGCAGCTGTTCATATCTTATAACATTATTTCAGCACATATCCCAGACTTCACTATCACACTCCCCTGTCATCTCAAACAGTTCAAACCCTGTGACACTCTGATACCCTCTGGTGCTGTATGTGAACTTTTCCCCTTCATCTCCCCCAGGTTTGTGGCCGCTGCGCTCGGAGGCGGGCAGGGAGACGGACGACATGCTGGTGCTGTCCTTTGTGGGCCAGACGCGGTGAGTGTGTGTAGGCCGGATAAGTGGAGAGCCGGTGCCGGGAGCCTGTTATCTTATCTGGAGCTTGTGCTATGCCCTAGAGTCCTGATGCTGAGTGGGGAGGAGGTGGAGGAGACAGAGCTGCCGGGCTTCGTGGACAACCAGCAGACCTTTTACTGCGGCAATGTGGCGCACCAGCAACTCATTCAGGTTTGTGCCGATAAGTGAGTAACAGCGTGTCAAGTCACTGATAAAAGCACTGCACAGCCCAAGTCTATCTGGGCTTATATTTTGTTGGGTGAAATTTATCAGTCTGGTCACTGTCAGAGGTGGTAGAGCAGCCAAGAATTGTACTGCAGTAGGAGTATCATTACTTCAAAATAATATTACTGAAGGAGCGGTGCAAGAAACACAAATGTTCAGATCATACCCTTTGTCACTTGTCGACTGGGACGAGGAACCCAAACTTTTACTTGATATATTAATATTTTTATTGACGTAACTCTTACTTAAGTAAAAGTATACAGCTAGAAATGTATCCTGAAGAGTATGATTTATTTGAAAATAAACCCACCACTGATCTGAACCAATAACCAATAACCAACCAATAACCAATGGAATGAAACTTAGGGCTGTGAGCAAATCTGCATTACTATTTCAATGTTGCAGCTAAACTCTCCACTGGGTCTTGTAATAAAAACTGCTAGCACTGACATTGATTACTTGTCTTAGCATAACGATTAACATTTCAGTCTTCTCCCAAATGCCTCTGTACCTGGACCTCAACATCGATGTTTATGAAATATTTAATTGCTTTGTCAATAGCTCTCTGAAAAACGACATTTGGTTTTGACGGTTTAGCCTTATAGGTGAAATTGCATCATAATGGATTAAGTAGACCTCCAATAAGAAATGATGGCCCAGTCATTTTGGCATAGTGTTTGCCAGTGCATACTGCTGTGCTCTTGGGTAAGACCCTTAACCTGCCTCTATAATTACAATATTTATAATGTGACCATAGACACTGGGCTTAGTCTCACACAAAGTTGGTCCTGAGTTTTATTCTTGGTTTCTTTGATCTCTCAAAGTTTATGAATAATGAGGAGTACAGAATTTTATTTTTTTATGTATATATAAAATATGATAAGATAACTGTATGTAAAATCCATATCATAAACATGGCCTATCGCTGTCCCCAGATATGAGGTGTACATGTTTAAATCAAATAGAATTGATTTTATTGTTTCTAATGCTGATTTATTCTCCAAAAAAGTAGACACAATGTTCCATTTGTCCCATTTATTTACATATATTTGTTTATGTAATTTGGTGTAAACCCCAGCACTTACAGCCAACCATGAATCAGTGCTGGTGTTGCCTCAGGGGGACATCGTTCACATGAGGCATGGACTGTCCATGCAACCCAGGTTCTGTTCAGGCTACATACAGCTCATTACATTACATGGAACTAGGATGTCAAAACATGGTAACAAGTATTGAAACCAGATTTCTTAAAAGTAGTACAAACACACTGAATATGATGGTAAAGGAGCTCAGAGTTATGTCTGTGGCACTAATGTATCAATGCACCCATATATCATCTATTCTTATAGTGGTATTCAAATATTTATGAAGCTTGCACGCACCCATTCAGCTTTTTCAGTTCCAATATCGATATCAATACTTGGACTTTTAGATTGTGCCGATAACTGGTATTACCCAATACCAGGTTAGAGACAGAAACTTGTGTAACTTATTACACAAGAGGTCCAATTACGTGTTATGCAACTGTAATTTATCCTTCAAATCACTACAGAACAGCTTTTTATGAATAAAAGTTTTTTAGGCTAAAATCAACCAGCAAATAATCTTATTAGGCAACCGATACTCCATCCAGCTAATTTTTCAATATTGGCTCCGATAGTCGATACCAGTACCCCATTTTAAACATCAGACTGAAAATGTTGTTGTTCTTGTACACACACATCAAACTAAACTGAGTAACTGAAGTGTCATTTTCTCATACAATCTGAAGCTCGAGCAGTGACTTCCTCCGTTACGACTTTAAAATCTACCAGACAAACAGCATCTCCTAAAACCTGTACTTACCATAAAAGACCACCCCAGTGCGAAGAAAGGGACTGCTCAATATTGACTCTCCACTGAATATTATCCGCTTGGCTGCCACTGGATTGGACTGGGCTGTTTTGGGGTCGGTTTGTAAATAGCGCCGATGGGCTGTTCCACCGCGGGGGAGCTGAACAGTGAACCTGATCTAAACTCCGGCTTTAGCCCCTGCCTCTGTGTGTTTAGAGAGAAGGAGGGCGAGAACAAGTGGTGCCCAGGAGAGATGCCAGCCTCTCTGCTCACAACATAAATCTCTATATTGTTAAAGCACAGTGGTTGCTCGGGGTTTAATGCTGGTGTGTCTTACCAAGTTTTGTCAGTATATTTTTCTCTGTAGTGTTGTGTACTGCGGGTGTACTGGAGAGGGGAGTGAATCAATGAATGAATCAAAAAATGAAAAATGCGACTGAATTACAGGAAAAAAGGGTCAGAGGCAATGGGGAAAAACAAGAGTAGCCAATGATTGCCCTTGAAGTAATGTTAGCGTTACTTGAGTACATTGTGTAACTTTTCTGGTGTGCTTGTCTCCATGGAGATGTTGTTGCTTTGTGTGGAATGTCACGGTATGGCATTAAACATATCCCTCTTGCATTTACTCAAAAACTATTGACTTCAAAACTTGCATTCTTACTGTGAGTGGGCTTACCTTTCCACAGATCTGACCTGTAACTTGACCTTATGGGTACCTGCTGTCTCCATAGAGATAAGTGTAACGCCATACCGTGGAACATTCCAGGCAATATCTCCATAGAGAGAAGTTGGTGACTTACCCTACACCATAAAAGTTGCACAGTGCACTTTTCAAAATAACATTACTCGAGTAGAAGTACTAAGTGGTGGTCCAAAAAATGACTGCTGTAAGAGTAAATGTCGGTACGTAACATCTGATTTTTAATTTAAAGGACAAATCATAATAAATAATGCAAAATATCTGGTACTTCCAAACGATGCAACGACACAAAACAATAAAAAAAACAGACAAACTAAATCATATCTCTAGGAACGCTGCAAGAAACACTAATGTTCAAATCATTTCATATTGTCCACATAAAGCTTTTGTCACTTGTAGACTTACTCACAGTGGGAAGAGTAACCACAACTTTTACTCAAGTAAGAGTACAGATACCTCAAAGAAATTACACAAGCAGGAGTACAAGTATGCTGCTAAAAAAGTACTCTGAAAAGTAAACTATTCACTACTACTCTCCTCTCGTAAAAAGGAAGAAAAAAAAACCTTAGCGTTATTTTCTCAAGCAACTTTTAAAACATATCTTTGAAAAATTTAGATTACTACAACAGTCTTTATATCAATGTTAAAGGCGCTCTACCAGATTTTTATGGTTAAAATGTGCATGGTTTGCAGTGTTTCAAAGTTATTCCTCATGGTGATGAGTTTATAATCGCTTTTCATTTTGTCACGGTAAAGCTAATGGCAACTAGCATGCCAACACACACTTATTAATTATCGGATAATAAAATGATTCATAAATAGATGCAGATTGCACACAGTGGACATATATTGTATAAGCAGCTCTTGAGGTCAAAATATCTGTACTGGGGCAAGATTAATATAGCTGAAATCTGATACTAAGGCCTTAAATACCATAGAGCACAACAGTGAGTGGGTAGTCTATCATTCATTTTACAAAAATGAGTTTAAAGGTGACACATTAATTGTCTCTAATCAAATTATAACCAAACCCACTGTGTCACAAATCTCAGTCTTTTTTCATTCACATAATTGTGAAGGGACTCCCCAGTCAAAAATGTGTATAAATAATAGATTTTAATACATTTCATTAAGAGTTTAATGGCACGACTGAGGCTAACCAACTGTGTGGTAACTGGTGAATATATTAACCGAGTATATTTAATCAAAATCTATTCATACAGCAGAACACTGCACATGAGAATCTGCTTGAGTTTGTAGGGTTGAAAATCAGATACTAATTGATACTAAAACTTGTATCGAAACTAGTGCCACTACTTGCACAAATGAGTATCTAAAGTTCACATTCACAGGACAAAAACAAACCTTTCTGGAATAGTTTTAGATTGAGCTTGAGCTGTATCACTTGGTAAGAGCATAGAAATACACCCATAGACCACTATGGAACCTACCTGGACCACTGAGGGATTACACAGATAAAATATAAAAGAAATCACATTCTGTTGTCAAATGAAAGAGCAGTTTTTAGTATTGAGTATCTGTCTTGTTTTATGGCAACGTACGTCATACTTTTGTGTTAGAATTGTTTCTGGGGAAAGTGGTGGGAGTCTTTCTACTTGGCCCTTTTATACACACAAAAATAGTTTCCAAATGTTGTGTGAAAGATGTCGTTTTTTGTCAAATAATCTCACGCAGGGCAGTCAGCGCACGTATAGAGGTTTTTGAACAGCTTTTCTAGGCAAGACAAGTTTATTTGTATAGCACCATTCGTACACAAAGTAATTCAAAGTTCAAAGAAACACTTTAAAATCACGATACAAACAAATCAAAACATAATTAATCATCATAGAATTAAAAGAGAGAGAGACATTATATGCGAGAGAGTGCGGAATGAAAACATTTCAGTTATATGCAGCTAAACAGAACCATTTTGTGCCTGGATTTAAATGGAGTCAAAGTTTCTATAACTTTATACAGACTTATAGTGGGCAGACACTTATCTAAATTTAATTAATATTTAGTACTAGATTATTACCACACACAAGGAAAGTTTTAGATACTCACAAGCCATGTTTCAGGTGGGTCATGTGTTTGGCATGAACCGATTCTTTAGTATTAAGATCGAGTTTGAAATTTTAGTATCATGAACACACTACAGAGCTTGTGATGTTATTTAAAGGGACAGTTCAGAATTTTGGACATAGGACCTCATTTCCTAGTGAGCCAGAATGTTGGAGATGTGTGGAGGCACTTTTAAAAAAAAATATTCCTTCCAGTCCTTGTATTTGCAGAGGTCACTGGTGCTAGGCTAGCGCATGTCAATGGCCATAGTTATCCTGCCACTTAAAACTCTCACTCTTCAGAGCACCTAAGGCCAAAACAGTTACTACGCCAGACTGTTGATGTGATTGTC